GCCCCCTGCTGGGGACAGAGCTCTCCCCTTTGGAGAATGTCCCTTTTACTCTAAGCTGTGCAACAGGTCCAAATCACTTTGCTTTCTTCAAAGGATCTCATCACTAGGGAAGCACAGATTGCCAAAGAAAGGGAAGAGCAGCTGGTTGAGAGTATTCCACAGCTTGAGACAGCAGAAAATGAATACATAGAAAAGAACAGGGAACTGAAGGCCATCCACAGTAATCTCACAGGTATGTATGAAGTCTGTGGGAACTAACTCCCATCTTCTGTGCCCTGCCCCCGACACAAAGCGACTGAGAATCCATCACACACCCAAGGAGAAGTAATTCTACCTTGCCTGTCTCCATTAACTCTACTTCCTAGTTTCTTTCATCTACTATATTCCTCTTTTCCACACTAAACTCTTTCTCCCACTCAGTCTCTCCCCCTCTCCCCTCCCTTCTTCCCTCCCCTTCTCCTTCCTCCTTCCAACAAGTAGATTGCCCCCACCACTGACCTATCTCTAAGGCAGAGATGAAAAAGACTTAGCATAGATGGCAGCTTTCGGAAGATGTGGACCATGTCTGTATCTTTTGTATTACGCAGCAAAACGCATGTGCATATAACCATTTTCCTCCACAAAAATTAGATATGATCACCTAACCCTGCACCTGAGCTCCACAACGTTTGGCTCCTGCCTTCATTCAGGAAGTGGAGGGCCCTTATCCAGGACCTCTGTGCAAGTCTTTGAGCAGTCACCACTTCCACGTCTTCTAGATGGTAAAAGGACTGTGGGACTCAGAAGCCAGGACCCAGGGTAACGGAAAAGAACAGAATGAGATCAATAAAAGCACAGTCTTCTCGGGGAGTGGTGGAGTGAGCAGATAACTATAAACATTCAGATTCATACAGCCAGTGTCAGTAAGACAAACTGGAAAGCAAAGAAATATTTAAAAATAGTGATCATTTCCAAGAAGGTAAAATTTCAAGAATATATAAATATAATAGTAAGAGCCTGGACAGTCAGTCTGTCTGCTGTTGTTTTTTAAAAAAAAAAAATGAAAATCCCAACTGTTCTATTTTATCAGTAAAGTCTCAGGAGCCAGATGCCTGGGTGAAAACTTGCTAGCTCAGAGAGGCAGAGAAAGCACCCATCTGACCTTCCTTCTCAGGTCTGGATGGAAAAAAGCAAAAGGCTCACTAGCTCAGTGGGCAGCCCAGAAGGAAAAGGCAAAACAAACAAACAAACAAACAAACAAAAAACCCCAAGGCCAAAGGCTTGCTAACTCAAAGCCCCTCAAAAAGTCCAAAAAAGCCAGACTGCTAGAGAGCTAAAGCCTAAGCTAAAGCCAAAGAGCTAAAGCCCCTTCTATTTCTCCATGCTGTCTTAAAGACCCCTCAGCTCAAAGTCCCTCCTGATTTCTTGCTTCACCTCTTGACATAGGGTTAACTTTATTACACTCTTTAAACAGAAAGTTCTTGGATTAAAGGTGCATGACAGAGCGCAACCAAACCAAACAAGAGACAGGGTTCTACAGTTCACAATTTTGGGGTTCACAATGAGATCAAATATCCTACAACAGTCTGCCATTTCTGAGTTGGCTTTCTGTCTCTTGTCTGATTTTCATCTGATCAACTCAGGTAGAATTTCACTTGATGCTTGTTCATAGGCCCTTCATTCTTCTCCATCTTTCCACCTGTCCTCTCAGTACAAAGAAGAGAGTGAAGGAAACACTGTGATGGTCTAAATAGTGAAAATTTGTTGAAGTGAACCCCATAACTTTATAGGAGGTTAAAGGGAAGAAACCTATCTATGGAAAGAAGTGGAGAATGTGTCAACAGGAGTAAAAATGTTAAATCTTCCTGTGTTATGTTAAGTGAATAGAAAACGTCTGAAAATAACCACAGATTTATTAACATATAATTTAAGAAAACTGAGCTAAGTGGAAGATACAACCAAAGGGACACTTCTTAAAAAAATGGTTGCAGGGGGAGGGAGGGTGGTACCAGGAGGAGATGATGGAGGGGACTACAAACTGGATATAAGGTGAATACATTGTAAAAATATCTAGTGGTTGAGGGGGCTGAAGAAATGGCTTGGTGGTTGGTTAAGAACATTTGGTGCATGGTCCCGAGGGCCAGAGTTCAGATTCACAGTCCCTATGGAATAAGCCAGGCATGCTTCAAAGACCAGAAACTCAGCTCTGATGCCATCTCTGACCATCACATACCTTTGCGTGCACACATGTGCACACTCTCTGTCCCACACACATACACATAAATAAGACAAACCTAAAAGAAACAACAGACAGAGTGGTTGATCCTGAGGAACCAGACACAGCGATAGATACACTGGAGAGCAACTAGCTGCCTTTTATTGTGGTAATAGTTTATCACGGTGTGACTGTTAAAACTATGTGTGCCTTACGGTTGATGAATTTTTTTTTTAACTAAATAACTTTGTGAACAGTCATTTTTCTCTCTCGGTCTCTTAAACAGCAAAGAAGCAAGAAGAATATTTAATCAACACCTACATTTCCCGCTTTAAAAAGGACATCTTGAAAAGTATGGCCAACAAGGTAAAGAATCACTGTGGTTTTCTGTTTTGTCCTATTTGCAGTGTCGGGGATTAAATTCCAGACCTCGTATATGCTAGGCAAGTGCTGTACCACTGGAACTATGTCCAAGGGCCTTGGTTTTCTTAGACAGGGTTTTACTGTGTAGTCATGAATCTCCTGCCCGAGCGAGATCACTCCTCCTCCTTTAAATTGAAATACTGGTCTATGCAAATAATACTATTTATCCAGTTTTTATTAAATCAACTGTAATTAAAGTTCTTCTACCGACTTTAGTGTTTAAAATTGTAGTCAATATACACGTGAAGGGATGGAGGGGTCGGTTTTCCACTATTGTGATATATGCCTGTCCGTGATTAGCTGGCCTCTCTTGTCTCTGAGCTTTCAAAGTGGAGGAAGGCCATGGCTGAGGGAAGCATTTCCCCTCTCCTCCACCAGGAGGCAAAGAAGAGTAATGGGAAGAAGGGACTGATCGGGCTATGCCAGTCAAAAGCACACCCCCAGTGAACCATTTCCTCCAACCAGGCCTCCCCCACCACAGACCCACAGTCTCCAAACGCTCTGTGCAAACCTAGAATCCACCCATGAACTAGGTTTGCTCAGTGAGCATCTGGGTGATCTAATCATCTCTGAAATGCCTTCAGACAATCACCAGAAGTGAGCTTTAAACCTTCTAGGTATTAAAGCTCTCAGCCCCATCAGATCCAAGAACAAAATTCAGACCGTGGGGTCCTTTGGAACCAACTCAAATATAATGGTAGAAAAAAAAAATCACTGACCAATGCAGAGAACTACGTGCTCTCATTCATAGGATGGGATTGGACTGTGCTCTGAAAGAATAAGTAGGCAGAGATTCTGTGAGCTAGAACAAAACAAGAGCAAGTAAAGAAATGTTTACTATCTTTTAAAATACACAATCTACAGCTTCATCATAAACTTTTTATATGGAGTTGGTTAATTGGATATGAAATTATACTTTGACGTATCTGGGTATCAAACATGATTTTTTATATGCTGTGGATATGAAAAAATATGAACAAGAACCTTACAAGGAAGTGTAACACGTGTGTGCGTGCTTGTGTGCACAGACACATTCCTTTTCTTAATAAGATGCTCATGGTGAGGTCTATATTTTGGATAAAGACCACAGAGTTTATGATGATACAATAATTAAGAACTGCATAGGGAATTCAGTAATAAAAAGTAGTCAATAAGTGATTTTTTAAAAAGAATCAGGGTTGGTGATATAGTGGGTTGGAAGAGGCCTTGCCCAAAATTTCTGTCCTCAATGCTGTATAGACTGATCTTGGTGGTCCTCAGCTAGCACTTGGGCAGAGACAGGGATAGGAAGGGTCCAGGGTCATCCTCAGCTGCATGGTGAGTTCTAAGGCCAGTCTGAGATACTCATCACCCAGTCACAAGTGCAAACAAAAAAAACAATCGATAAATAAACAAGTAAATAAGTACTCATTGAGTAAATATTTTCTCCTTCCAGTAACATTAACTTTTCTTTTAAAATCTCAGTGAATTCCTCCACCTTCTCCCCACTTGGCGAGGCAATTATTCAAGTATCAAAGCATACTCTACTTTGTGAGGTTTTTGTTAATGTCTAGGATGCTTTACGTAAGGTCCACACATGACCATACCAGAGTCTATGAATACGTTTTCAGTAAGCAGCTCTTAGGATTTTCTGAAAGAACGTTTTCATGGTCAGCTAAGGTGGCTCAAGAATGAATGAAGAACTGGGTTGTGGCTGTGACCTGGTCAGCCTAGTGCTGGTATCCTGCCCTTTGAACCCTAGGAGCTAACTGTGGCTTTTATGTTTGGGCAGGAGAAGTTGAAGCAAGAATTAAAATATTTACGAGATATTGAAAGTCAAAAAACCAAAGAACATTTTGAAGTTTTCAGGAACTTAGAAAATGAAATATATGTCCACGACCAAAAGGAAATCCTTCTCATGCTGGAGAATAAAAAATTAAAAGAGGTAAGTTCAAGAGCGCCTCACTTTTCCTTACGGTCTTGGTTGATTGCCTGGACTAGCAGGCAGTAACCAAACCCTCTCCCCGCAAGAGTGCTACCAACTTCTGTCAGCAGACACCAGGTTTGCCCAGATTCGAACGTTACCTGTGAAGAAGGATGTCATAGACATGATTTTGCTCAACCTTGTGGCTCTGAGAGTCCTCCTCACTGAGTGTTCACTATTCTGCATTCTGTGTAGTATTCCACTATATGAACACAGTATTTATTTAGACAGGGCTATTAGTGGGGTTTGGGAGACCTTATTTTGACTCTCACCAACCCTGCTTCTAAGCCTATCCAAGTATAATTGTTTTGATAGACAGGCACATTTCTTTTGGGCATAGCATAACTGGAGCTGCAGAGTCATTAGAGTTTAATTCCACTGAACCAAAGTAAAGACCGTTATCCAGATTCTTTGGTCAAATTATACAGGATTTATTTTCTGTCAGAAAAAAAAATTTTTTTTTTTGTTTTGTTTTCTATCTCTCCTTAAATCAGAGTCTGAGAAAATAGCATCTAGCATGGGGGAAGAGAAGTCATACATAGTGTTTGCAAGGGGATTTCCAGAGGAAATCTGGTTACATAGGAACTTGGCTGAAGATTTCAAAATTATTTGTCAAAACATCTTATTTTATCAGGGTACATCCAAGGTGTGAGTCAAACTCCACAAGGCAGGGAGCATGACAGATTCCAGAAACAGGTTAAAGCACGGTCAGCCGGACTTTGCAGCAAACAGACATGAACTTGTAAGACAATGGCCTCCATCTTTAAAGTGGATGCAGGCTGGTGCGCCACAGATTGCGCGCCATCTGCCGTCGTGCAGGGCCAGGCTCCCAGAGTCATCGCGCCGAACGCCCCTCACTCGGGCAATGTGTCAGGGCCCTGGCCCTCCCATCCTCACCCGTGTCGGTGTCACAGGAAGGAACGAAAGCACAGGCTTCCTCTTGGGTTAGTTTGACCAAGATCAAGCCCAAATTTGCATCTGTCACTCATTGGATACACTGTCCTTAGTGTCTCAAGGGGTTGATCTTGCTTCTTTGTAATCTGAAAGATTAAAGAAAGTGGGTTTTTTTAATGGCTTTTCCCACTAAAACTAAACTAAAATAATAATAATAATAATAATAATAATAATAATTAATAATAACAAAACCTTGACATTAGGGTCTGCATCAATGTCCCAAGAATTGTAGGACTTGGTTCCCTTCAATGCTCAAAAATACTTCAAAAGTCAGGTAATATATTATGTACCTTTAAGATGAGAAAATATTCTAGCTTTGTTTTTTTTTTTTTTCCAAGAATTGTTAACACCTAGAGTAGAGGAGGAAAAAAATCCTTCAGAAGGAGCTTAATAAGGGAAGTAGCCTGGCCATTGCCTCATCCAACGGCACCCGCCTCACCGCGTGACTTATTTCTGTCTGTTATACTGCACCAATCCCACATGCTTTGTTTGGAAGAGCTAAAACAACCTAAGGACTGATGTTTTCAGAAGCTCTGGTCTCCACCTGCCTCAGTAACCCTCATACACACATCACAACACTATGCTGCCAGCCTTTGACACAAACCTGGGAGGGATTTTACCACCTATTGAACTGTCCCACTCGCCTCTCCTCCTACGGAGACAGTATCTAATGTTTAACCAGAAGATGAAAATTTCTACTCCTATGTTTCTGCACGAGGGCCATTTTTTTTTCCCTTGTGGATATGACGCATTCGTGCAGAGGTCTTTTCACTTCTTACTGTGCCGAGTCATACTCAGAACACCGTGTTTATTTATTTGGCTGCTGAAATGGTAAGAGAGCAGGACCCTCTGTCGCCTCCCTTGGTGAATGACTGCATAGACATTTCGCTAACTCAGCGTACAGAGAGCAGATGCTGAGAGCAGGCCTTTCATTTTCAGTTTATCGCCTACCTGAAGAAAAAAGTCCAACAGTTCAAAGATAAGCAAATAATAACAGTGAAGGATTCAGGGGACCTGGCTTGGCAACTGACAGCTCAGCACAGTAAGTAATGCCTCCCACTCTCCACACAGTTCCGTTCTTGATCGAATCAGTCTTATAAATTTGCATAGAACAAAATGTATCTATTTTAAGGTCAGTGGATTCTGCAGGATACACAAACCCTAGCAGCCACTGCCCCCGGAGCAAAGTGCACAACATGTTCCCAATTGTACATCTTGTGCAGTTTACGTCTGAAAAGTCCTTCACGGGCTCCCGGCTTGAGTTTGTGACCTTGTTAGGAAGGTTGTGGACCTCCTGGGGTGGGGGGAAGTGGAGGGGACTCTCTAACGGAAGTAGATCCTTAGGGACAGGGCTTTAAGGCTTAGAAGCATCCCCGATTCCAGCCTGCGTTGTCCACGCGGTCCCAACACCAGAGACAGCAGCTCCACGGTGCCACAGTGAGCCAGGACCCTACGAAACTGTAGACTTAACCTGCCTCCTTCCTTACGCTCTTTCTGTCAGGTATTTATTTTGATTACAAAAGTGATTACCATCTGTCCGGTCCTTGCTAAGCATCCACTCCACCCCCAGGCTCCGGAAACCACCCACCACCCGCCCGCTAACACTAATGACTAGACAGAAGGAAATTATGCTGGACGCACCCTTCCATTCCTGGCTTCTTTGACCCCGCAGACTGGATCTTTAAGGTTCATTCACGAGGCCACATGTCGGGGCCCATGCCTGTAATCCCAATCCTTAAACAGCTGAAACAGAAGGATTGATGTGAGTTAAGGACCAGCCTGGGCTACATAGTAAGTTCCATGTCAGCCTGGACTAGAGTTTTCATCTGTCTCAAAACAACAACAGAAAACAAAAGATTCACCTCTGTTCTTTCCTGAACCACACCTTGGGTGAGGTACAGCAGTATGAGCTATCCGTACTTCATCTACTCACTGGCTGAGAGACATTTGCCTCGTTCTTTATTTATTACAAGGGAAGCAACTAGGGATATTCGTTTGGAAGCATTTTTCTGATTTTTGTTCCCCCTTATGTAATACTTGAAAGCGGAACGGCTGGGTTACATGGTTATTGTCTTAGTACCTTTTAAGAAACTGCTAGGGGGCCTGGAGAGATGGCTCAGAGGTTAAGAGTACTGACTGCTCTTCCAAAAGTCCTGAGTTCAATTCCCAGCAACTACATGGTGGCTCATAACCAACTATAATGTGATGCCCTCTTCTGGTGTGCAGGTGTACATGCAGATAAAGTATTCACATACATAAAATTAAAAAATAAATACATTATTAAAAAGTCTTTTATAAAAGGAAATTGAAAACAAGAAACTGCTAGTTTGACATTGTTTTTCAGATTTCTCACCAACACTTAAATCTGTGAGGACATTAGAAGCATTAACATTTAGCCATTTGCATAATCATAGAATGGTATAATATTGACATTTTCATCTTCAATGGCCATCAGTTCTTGTGGTTCTCAGCTATCTGATAACCATCTTTTTGAACCGTCCTGAATCAACAAACTGTCTTGGCATAATAAATATCATAAAGCAGGGCTGCAGAGATGGATCAGTGGTTAAGAGCACCTGCAGCTCTTTCAGAGACCCAGAGTCCATTTCTGGCACCTATGCCAGGCAGTTCACAGCTGCCTATAACTCCAGCCTCACAAGAGCTGATGCCACCTCCTTGCCTCCCTGGGATGCTGAACTCACAAGTGGCTTTCACTCATACATACATACACACATACACATCAATAAAAATAATAAAAACAAATCTCTTAAAAAAAAAAAAAACCTCAACAACCATCACAAAGTTAGCAGCTTAGACAAGGAATTTACTCATGAACTGGTGATGTGATCAGAGCTGGGGTCAACCTGCGTGTTCTGTGTGGGAGCTGGGACCCTCCAAAGACTGGCCTGTTCCTGTGTCCAAACTTGCTGTGACTCTCACACATGCCTCAGGGACATTGCCTCATGGGGTCTGCACGGAACTGCTGGGCTCCAAGAAAAGCATCCTAGGAGAACAGAGTGGAAGCTTGTGGTATTGGCACGACCTAACCTTGGAAGTCAGGGTATTAATCCCACATGACGCTCAGGTTAGAGTAACTAACTCTTTTAACGCAGGAGAGGGTGTCAGCCCCAAGATGCAAGAGTCCTGGCCATGTAGGTGCAGTGTGGAGCCATTTGGGGCTATTGCGATCTGCTACCTGTCCACTGAAGTTTTTCACTCATTACCTTGCTTCTTTAGTCTTCTTATCATTGAGCTAAAGTGTCCATATATTCTGGGATTTAGTTCTCTTTCGGTCTAAGGTTTGGCTCGGGGCTTCATATCAACTTTTTGCCATGAGATCAAGACAAAAATGGAATTTCTCTCTCTCTCTCTCTCTCTCTCTCTCTCTTTCATTCTCTCTTTTTCATTCTGGAAGTTTAAAATAATTTTTAAACTTTTAATTATTAAAATACTAATGCTGTTTTAGTAACCATTGATTTTTAATATTTCAGAACATTATTCAGATTTGGTGGCACAATTTCAGACCATGACTAAGGTGAGGGGATTTTCCTGGATTGTTTTGGATATCATGTTTCCAAAAGAGTTCACCAACCATTAAAAGCGTATGTGCATGTGTGTGTGTGTGTGTGTGTGTGTGTGTGTGTGTGTGTATGTTCTCATGTACAGGTAACTGGTATGTACTCGTGCACATAGGGACAGAATTGGGAGACTGCAGAAGAATGACATGCATTGTGCCAAATGTCACTATGAAATCTTAATCCTTTCAGAAACTATTTTCCTTACTTCCACTCAGTCAACACGGGCAGTGCCTTCCCTCCTGTCCTGTCTCTCTCTTCTCTTTCCTTGTTTGTCTTTGCAAGCTCGCATACAGCACATCCAATCTTCAGCACCTCTGTCCTGAGAGCACTAGACTAGCTCTGTCTCTTACTAACTGCTCAGTGCCCCTTCCCCTCCTCGCTCTAGGTAGGAGTGAGCCAATTCTGCCTCTGCATAGGCCTGGAAGTTACTTTGTGTGGCTAGCAGCAACTTTTCATACATTACATTGTTTTGGAAATAATAGAATCGGAAATGTCACCCCCTGTGTTGTCTCTTATATTCACACACCCCAAATGCCACTCCTTTAAGCAACTCACGAGCAGTGGAGAAGAGACTTTACAGGAGATTAAGACGGTGAGAGAGCGGCTGTACTACCGGGACGAGAGGACCGAAGTGATGAGTTCCTGGCTCCTGGGAGGCATCTTGAGGCTGCGTCTTCTCATGGAGGAGAGCCCGGTGTTGAATCTTGTTAAAAAGCTCGGTAAGGGATTCCTGCCACCTTACAGCAGCTAGTGACCTAGATAAAGGGGCTCCTCTTGGGGACGGGCCGTCAAAGGAAGGGAAGGGCGGTGCTCACGGATGCTGAGCAACTCCACCAAGCACACTGTTCACCCTGGGTTGAGTTCGTTAGAACCCTTTGCCAGTTCTTCCTTTCACATGAGATAATTTTCAAGAGGACGAAATTTTCTTCATGATTAAAAAAAAAAAAAAAATCAGACAATTTATTTTGGGACAGGATCTTACTGTGGAGTCTAGTGTGGTGGTGAACTCCAGATCTTCCTGTCTGGACTTCCGGAGTGCTGCAATTATATGGCTCAGAAACTTTCTTTGTTTAAGAAGGCATTTAATTCCTGCATTCTGGAGATGGAGAGGTGGCTCGGTGGTTTAAAGCAGGAGTTGCTGCTGCCTAGGACCTTTAAGAGGCTGCTCCACAGCAGCCTCGTGCTATCATTTGCCTTGTGCTCTAGCAGGGGCGTGGTTTTGCCAGCTGCAGATGTGTGATGTTTGGAATTCTGTGAAGTTCTCAGAGGGTAAAAAAATGCTATACTAGGGCCCTAGTATAGAGAGGCGGCAATGCTGTTCTTGGCTGGTTGGTGATTGGATGGTGTTGCTTGCTGTTTGTCAAGCAGTCCTACACAAAGAAATGAGAAGAAATTAGATATTCTGATGGAAGATCAAACACTCCCCCAAGGAACTCAATGCCCCTAATCAGCAGGAAATAGTCTAATGACAACTTTGCCCCCTTTTCTCTGCAGTATCTAGTGTTAGGGGGCTAACAAGGGTGGAGAAGGGTGGAAGAGAGAAACAGGAACCCACAAAGTAGCAAATATCCACTACAATGATGTGGTGTCAAGACCATGGTTTCCAGCACTTGGTTCATAAAGTAAAGCAGCTGATGGTCTCCAAAAGTCAACTCCCACATAGGAAGCAAATATTAACAATTCTGTTTATATTTGGTGATGTCATCCTTTAAGTTCTGTGCTTTTGACTATGTTTAATATTGTAACCCTGTCAATATACAGGCAAATATAAATTGCTAATACATAGACTGAGCCTTATGATTCAAGATAGGGGGTAGAATAAGCTGAAGATTACTGGCCTCCATATCCTGCTTTCTAAGCAGGCCATAGTGGCATACCCCTTTAATTCCCACACTCAGGAGGCGGAAGCAGGTAGATCTCTGTGAGTTCGAGGACAGCCCGAACTACATAGTGAGTTTCAGGATAGCCAGAGCCACATAGTGAGAGAAACACCATCTTGAAAAAACTACAACAGACAAAAGTCTTTTTGGCTATCATTAGATTGGCAGGAAACGTAGTGGAATTGCCTGCTACTTTTAGTTTTGAACTCCTACCCATATTCTTAGGTACTTGCCATTTTACTAGCTGTTTAAAATGTTGTTACACCATCTAGCAAATCTATGTTCTACAGCACAGGTCAGCATCCAACTGTCAAGGGACCAGAGGTCACATTGAGTTCTATACGTCTGGACAACGGGAAAAACTCAAAAGGACAATAGCATTTCAGGATACCATTGCCTCATATGCATTTCATGTCCATGCCTATATGAGTCTACAGAAACATAGCCATGTTCGTTCATATATTACATATGCCTGTGCTTTATGGTACAAATGACAAAGTAGCTGTGACACAGGCCATGGGACCCACCAAGTCTCGAACATTCACTACCGGACTCTCTACAGAAAACACTTAGAACGAGCATGTCGACACTGGCATGTTTTTGTCTAGACACGAGAGGCCCTTTTGGCAAAGCCTAAGGTCACACAGGTTGAGACAGGGGAAACAAAGGCTGATTTTTTTTTTTTTTAGACCACACGATGGTAAACATCTACAATGAAAACTGTATTTGCATTGAGAATGAAAAGAATTAGTAAAGAATATGCTTACTACAGATAGTTTTCAAAAGTCAGTAGAGAACCGAGCGACAAAACTTGAGTTTAAAGCACAGTAGTCGGAGCTGGAGAAATGTGTCTGTGGTTAAAAGCACGGCTTTTGCAGCTGACACGCATTTTGGTTCCCAGCACTCACATGGCAGCTCCCAACCTTCTCCAGCTCCAAGGGATCTGATGCCAACCTTCAGCAGCAGGCATGTGGTGCGCATACATCCGTGCAGGCAAACGCTCATTCGCACGAAACAAAACCAAATAAACCCTTAAAACAAAACAAAAGACAGAACAAAAGTGAGCTATGCTATTTCAGAGCCAATGAAATGTTCTAGTCAACAAGCATTTCCTAACCACCTAGTCTGTGTCAAGCTCTAAGAGCTCGATGGTGAAGAGTTCTTGGATGGTGAAGAGCTCTTGGATGGTGAGGAGCTGGTGGCAGCTCCTCTGACAAAGATCAGATAGTACTTTTGGCAGTTAACAGCCCTGAGGTCTCTGTAGCACTTAATGCAGGTCACAGAATTACCCATTCGGCTAGAACTTGCCCACTGCAGATACAGGAGAACGAGAATCAAGAGAATCGGGACTCGCTGAAATGAATATTAATTCCTGCTTGTGGAGGAAGTGGGGCATAGGATGAACGTAAGCGGCAGCTGGGTTACGGAATCACGAGCTGGCGGCCCTCCAGATGTCAGCTGGGACCTGAGCTGACATCTGGAGGCAGATACCATAGCTCTGTCTGCCTCAGCTCCCGGGGCAGAAAGTGGGCTTTAAAGCCAGGTGGGCTGGGACTCCTGCTGCTTCATCCCCTTCCTCACTTTCCCTGGTAAGTAAGAGAGACAACAAACAGGAGTTCTAAAATACCAAACCCGTACTGAGTGTTCATCGGATTTCTGGAATCTCGCCCCGCCGGAGAGAAGTGAGTACCGTTTGGCCCTTGAATTCACCCCACCATCTCACAGCCTGCAGTCTCCGACTTCTGAATTGCTTCCGGTTCTCCCGAAGCCCTGGACAGTCCAGCAGCCCTCTGCTGCCTACTCTTGGATATAATATGTCAATACAGTCCTTCAGGTCCTGCCTTCCTCCACACCCATTACACTAGCTGCATCATTATTATTATTATTATTATTATTATTATTATTATTATTATTATTTATTGAGTAACCATGGGCCAGAGAAAAGATGGTCAGAATTAAGGGACCTCCTCCAGTGGAGATAAAGCTCTCTTATTGGATGCTGAAATGCGCTCTTATTGGACACAGGAGTGTCAGAGACAGGTGCAGAGGTGAGCTGGCCAAGAAACCCCCCCCCACACCCGGTACAATTGGAAGGACCGAGTAGGCTGTCAGAATGCTAAATGCCAGGATTCACCTGAAAACTGTCAATTAACTTTCACCTTTTCTGCTTTGTAAGCAAAAATGTTAGGACATATACCTAAACCAGACAGTGACCGTGCAGATTACTTTTAAATTATTAGAAATGCTTGGGGCCAAAGAGGTGGCTCAGTGGGTAAAGGTCCTTAGCCACCAAGCCTGGCACCTGAGTCCATATCCTAAAACCTATAAGTACCTCTTCAAGTTGTCCCCTGAGCTGCACATGCAGCTATACCCACTGATCCCTCCCCCTCAACATGCATGCATGCATGCGCGCGCGCACACACACACACACACACACACTCACACTCACACACAATAGAGGGGAGGGGAGGGAGATTACAACTTTTAAAAGAACTTGCTTCATAACTTTCCTTGACTTCTAGTCAGAATGAAAACAAATGGAATTTAATCACAATCCCTCGCCTTGTACTTATTTCTAGTTGAAGATCAGCATTCAAAGCAATAGGCTCCTGAACGCCATCCCCATACATAACTGGTTTTGGCTACACCTCTCTGTCCTCACGCTCTCCTCTCGTCTCCAAGACCTGCCCCCCCTTGTAGCCTTCTCCCCCACCAGCCCCACCTGCACACCTCACCATCACGTCTGCCTTCATATTGCATGCGCTCTTTCCTCTTCTCCCAGATCTCTTCCTCGCAGCCTTTTTGCCCACCCCGTATGAGCCCCTTCTAGTTTCCTGTCATCTAGTCACACTCACACACTAAATGCACATCCGTAAAAGCTAAAAGCTTGGGAATCTGCATATAGGAGGTAACACCATTGATTTTCCCGGCTGGCGGCCTCACTGGCTACTTCTACCTCTACTCATTCTCCTATGAGTTTTATAATTTCTTTTTTTCTTTATGGTAGAAACTTACCTCACTGTATTCACATACCACATTTTCATTATCCATCTACAGATAAACATCTAGGCTGATTCCATCTCTTTGCTATTGTGAATGCAGAGGCAATACAGGCAAACGCACGCAGCTCTGTGGTGGGCTATGGACCAGTATAGCTGAGTCAGATGGCAGTCCTGTTTTCATTTTCTGTTATTTTATTGAGAAACCACGCTGATTTTATCGTGGCTGCTCTAGTTTGCTCTCCAGCCACCAGTGGGTAAGAGCTCCCCTTTCCCACATCCTTGCCATTCGATTTCTTGGGGAGAGCCATTCCAGCTGGAGGAGACGGAACCTCAAAGTGGTTTTAATTTGCATTTCCTTGGTGGCAAAGGCTATTTAGCACCTTTAAACACACTTATTGGCCCTTTGCATGTCTTCAATCTGTTCAGTTAAAATTCCAAATCCCTTGAGCGTTTCTATATAGTAACTTAGGTCACAGATAGGTGGTTTTGTGGTGATCAAATAGTACATTCCTTGCAGAAGACCTTTTTTTAGATCAAGTATGTTTTTAAGACTTTAAAAAAAAATCAATTCTTATCATTTCCAAAGTTGTCTTTTCATTTTTGTGATGGAAAAATTATGACTCAATATTATTATGCACGTTCTGAGCATTTAATTTTGAAAAATGACCTGCTTTAAGTTTTGTAGTTACCACCAAATTAATAATTCAGAGAGAAAATAAAATCAGTTGCTGAATAATTGTCAAAAGGTATTTTAGAAAGCCCACTGTGTAATCCCAGCACCAGGAGGCTGAGGCAGGCAAATCCAGAGGTTGAAGATCACCCCAGGATACATAGCAACACTGTCTCAGGAAAGCTAAGCCTAACCAAACCAAATCAAATCAAAAAGGGCCCTTGGGAAAACTAAGCTCTAGATCAGGAAGAACTTTAGGACAGTGGTTCTCAAACATTCCACACAGAGAGTCAAAGAAAAAAAAAATCCATCCTGAGGCTGCATTGTAGACCAGCTCATCATGAGTGCCCAGGGGTGATGTCAGGCATGTTTTGTTTTAAATCTGTACACGGCTCCTGTGAGCAGCCAAGTTGTTTTTTTGTTTTTGTTTTTGTTTCTTCACAATTTATTCATAATATATCCCGATTGAAGCCCCCTCCCTCAACTCCCCCAGTGCCACCCTCCCTCCCTTTTCCCTTCATCCCTTTCCCCTAGTCCACTGAAAGGGGGAGTTCTCCACTATTGCCTTAGCTTGTTAAGTCTCATCAGGACTGCTTGGATCCTCCCCCGTGGCCTGGCAAGGCCGCATCACCAGGGGCGAGTGATCAGAGAACAGTCAACTGAGTTCATGATAGAGGCAGCCCCTGCTCCCCTCACTCAGAGATCCACATGGAGACTGAGCTGCCAATCGGCCACATCTGAGCAGGGGGTCTAGGTCCTCTCCATGCATGGTTCTCCTTTGGTGCATCAGTCTCTGCAGGACCCCCTGGGCTCAGAACTTTTGGTTTTGTTGGTCTCCTTGTGGGGCTCCTGTCTCCTCCATATCCCTCTAATCCCACCCCTCTCTTCCTCCATATGATTCCCTGCGCTCTGCCCAAAGTTTGCCCTGAGTCTTAGCATCTGCTTCAATTCTCTGTTGGGTGAATCTTTTCAGAGGACCCTCTATAGTAGACTCCTATCCTGTTTCCTCTCTTCCACTGCTTCTGTTGTCTATCCTGTTTGCCATTCTGAATGAGATTTAAGCATCCTCCCTAGGGTCCGCCTTAGTATTTAGCTTCTTCAGGTCTGTAGATGGCTGTCCTATATTATATGGCTAATATCTGCTTATTAATGTATACCATGCCTGTCTGTTTCTGGGTTACTTCATTCAGGATGATCTTTTCTAGTTCCATCCATTTGTCTGCAGCTTTATTTGTAATAGCCAGAATCTGGAAACAACCTAGATGTCTCTCAACAGAGGAATAGATACAGCCAATTCTTATAAAACGAGTTTTGGATAAACATGTTAGGCTCAGAAATAAATACAAATTAAGAAAGTGTTTTGCCTTTCAAAGTACTCAGGTCTGAATAGCAAAATAATTCTACAGCCCATAGCAGTAAAACTGCCATGTGTCATGAGGGCCATAGACAAGACAAAAGCTGAGCTACGTTGAGAGCTATTATGCAGTTTTTCTTCTCACTTGCTCTCTCTCTCTTTCCTTCATTGTTTATTTCTGTTTTTCCAGAGAGGGTTTCTCTGTGTATCACTGTCTGTCCTGGAATTTTCCCTGTAGACCAAGGCTGGCCTTGAAATCAGAGAGATCCATCTGCCTCTGCCTCCTGAGTGCTGGGACTTATTTTGCATATTTTTAATAAACACATTTTATCAAACTATTTATAGCATGAGCAACCAGCATGGCTATGACATTGATAACTTTGTTCCTATAAAAGCAGATGGTAAAATACAGATATTAAGTATCCCTGACAATCTCTGCCTTTTTTTTTTTTTTTTTTTTTGATGACTTATACATACTTCTTTGCTAGAACAGGACCCAGGAAGGTAACTGTCACAACAACAGCAAATGCAGTGGGCTCAGAGGCAGCACATCAGACACCCAGCCCCTCACATACAGACTGTGTAATTAGCCACATGAAGATTCTTGGTGCAACTTGGCATTTCAATAAGCATTAGTAACCACAAAACCTGTGCAAGGTACAAATGGCATTTTAAATTTTGTTCTGACAGGAAAGCAAAAGAAACGCACATCAGCCCATTTCTACAGAGCCTTGTATACTAGAAGACATGCATTAACGGAAGGCCACAGACAATTTACGGATAGAGTACGGAGAGCCGCACGCAACGTGAGTGCACCTACATTCATGTCTTAAGCATTAAGAGAAGCCTTCAGAGCTGCCATGGACCAGAGCGGGTGATAACCACGGCCAGACTGTTTTGTTTCTGTGGCTGTAGCGTGAGTGTCTCAGAGCCTTCAGAGTACTGACATGACAGTGACCTTCTAGTTACAAGACCCTAACTCGGAAATGTCATGATCAGGAAGGAAGTCTCAGGATCAATAAAGTGTGGCCTACATACCTTGTTTTAAGTAATGAAATACGAGAGAATGGGAGTATGTGTATTTACTCAGTGGACAAAAGAAATATGAATCTCAATGCTTAACATGTTTAATTGCTTCCATAATCAGTTGCAAAAATGAATTGTCAGAACAGTGAGTTATTTTACAGTTAAATTCTTTATTGTTTTCTTTACAGAAAACGACACAGAAAAAGACACAGAAACGATAATCTGAACATGTCTTCAAGCAAATTGTCTATAAACAGAAAACTCGTTATATAAATTATGCTTTATTTTTGTAATACTGTAAAACACTGTATTGGTGAAAATAAATAGATATTGACAAAGACATTCTTTGTTTCTGTTTTTGCCATCACACTCCAAAAGTACGTTTGCCTTTGCAATTCCTTATAGGAAAAAGGCCAGACGCACAGAGAACAGGAAGACTAACAATGCCACAGCAAAGGAGTTTAGAACAAACTTGATAAAGGTTTTTCGCAAAAAGCTGAGAGACACCCATTAGCACAGGTGCACAGAAACACGGCTGTGATCAAAGAGCAACTAAAAGTGCGTGCTCGGGCTTCTAGTATGACATGTTGATAACGTGTGTAGCACAGTGCCATGATGTGTAATTTCCAAGACTAACCACAGGCCCAAAAGCCAAAGACAAAAACAAGCATTACGATATCCAGACAATCCTGTTCCCATGTACGACAGAAGCTATTAATACATTTTAAATTCTTTATTTTTCACATTTTAAGTTATTTTTTCCTTTTTTTTTTTTTTTTATTAAGAATACTTTTTAGGATTTTGTTTTGTTCATCTGTTTGTTTGGTTTTGGCATTTTATATTCAGTGTCCATTGGCCCCTTCTGAGAGTATCCGTGATGGTTCGGTAAATTTTGCAGTGAACAAGTAGAACAGGGCTGGTGTGGGTACCAAAGCCAGAAGCGGCAGGTCATGTTCCAGCCTGTCCACTCTGGAGATGGAGATAATTCCATAGGCATGCAGGAGCCAGTGGCTGAAGAGGACAATAAGTCTTTTCTTCCTGACCAGAAGGTCATAGCAGTTCTATGCGATTGTGTCAGAGAAAGAAAAGAGAAACACGGATTAGCAAACCACTAGTCTTCACACACTCATTTTCAGGAATCTAATTGTTTGAGCTAAAAAAGACTTCAGAACTGCCCCAATCACCCAGTCCTGCCACCGCACTGTCCACACGGTCACTAGTCCAGCTGTTGCACTGTCCACACAGTCAGAAAGGCCCTCAACAGCCACTCTTAGCCTACAGCCCATCTCTTGGTCCTCATCTATATCACCATCACTCGGGGGTGATGAATTAAGAGGGAATCGACAGTGTCTGTTCCCCCTGTCCAGGTGCGCTGCACTCCAAAAACCTTCCTGACTCTAATGTTCCCAGGATCTGCTGAGTACACAGGACAACAGAAATGGCTCCTTTGTTGTCTGATTTTCTTTCAGTTTTCAGTGCCTTGTGAGAACATGGAGAAACCGAAGGAGCAGCTCAATATAAAGTGCTAAGAAACACAATGACGGAGAATTTTCAGTGGATTGCTCTTCAGCTTTTTCTTAACAGTTAAATGACTCACAGGCTCACCTAGTCCTGGACTGTCCTTCAAAGCCCTGTTTACAACTCCCAGCTAGAGAGCTAAGTGGCGGATGTGGGCGTCTTACCCCTGGGGTAGAGAAGGAGAGGTGTCTCAAGCTGATCTAGAAGAGCAGTACTCATTTGCAACTATGCAAATTTTACTCAAATGTTCCAACACACACCTTGATCTTTTCCTGGTTGATGAAAAGCCAAAACTAATTTCCTGTCCTCTCTAATAAATCCAATTGCAATGTTGAATAAAGATTACAGAGGAGCCACGAGGCTAGTCTATGAACTGGGGGAGCTGGATTGTCACCAAAGCATTCCATTCCGTCCCTCCATTCTCCTGCCCAAAGTCACTGCACTTAGTATGGTCCCACCTCACACTGTCACCAACGTCTTAGAAAAGTGCCAACAGCCATCTCTCCCAAGCGTGATGTTTTGTCTGGTTGTCATAATGAACACAGGAAGTCCGAGGAAGCGCAAATGTTAACTGTGAGCGGCCCATCTGCAGCACAGCATGGAAAGGCCCGAGACTTGAGCTGCTAAGTCATTGGGAGCACTGCTCCACGGAGAGCTTTTCAATCAGTGCTGTTAAAGTACTTACTGGAAACCATGCAAATGTGCTGCCTTAGCATAAAATTTTAAAAGTTGAGAGCCACATAACTGGAAAGAAAGTTACTAAAGAGATGTACAAAACTCCTCACTTTGATTAAAAGTTTCATCAATACATCTGCCCTAGTTAGAATTTATTGCTCAAACTGTAAACCAATATCTTAGCTCCTTAAAATAAAATATTTAAAAATATGATAGGCTGTGCCATTTACAACAATTACGTTAAACAGCTTTTTATTTTGTTGGATAAGAACACTGACTATTTCCCTAATTTCCCAAGGAAAGATAAATGCAGCCCACTCAACCATCCGTAAAATTAACTAAGGAGATACGGGTGACATCAGTTAGACAAGGACCTTAACCATACCATATGTACTATTCCATTCAGTTGTCAAATTTTATTTTTAAGAAAAAAGGAAAAAAAAATCCCAAAACTGTAACGAAAGAAAACCAATTTCCTACCTCTATTTCAGAAGCAGACATGTACACAGCCAGAGTGACCAAAGATAACACTAATATGATGTATGGGAAGGCATAATCTGGAAAACATAAGATGATGCATTAGAAATGAACCATCAGCTAACCAATCAGCTAATTAAACCATCAGGTAGAACCCAGCTCTTCTGGATACTCTCCCAGCTGGTTCTGGAACTTGAGTCCTAGCCCCTGAGAGGAGACTGACAGCCAGTTCTTTATGGATTATAGGCCACACAGTCTCCACCTCCACTCCCCAGCTCAGCTGTGGTGTACATGAGTAGCTGTGCCTCTGTTCCAATAAAATTTCTTAAGTAGTAAAATATGAGTTTCATATACTTGTCCCGTAACAAGTTTGTTTGTTTTTTCTCTCAGTCTATTAAAAATGTAAATCTATCTTTGTTCATCTGTGAGAAGCTAAGGGATTTGAGGCAGCTGAAGGATTACTTGAAAAGACTTAACTTCTCTCCCAGGTACCTAAAATGTTAATAGTAACTATGTACCAAACAAGAGAATTGGGAGAATACTCAGCTTCTGGTGATTTATGGTCCAGGAACGGAACCTTGGTTGAGAAGACTTATGGATATAAGAGTAACTCAGCTTTCATTATCTTTAGAAAAGTTCATTTCTCAAACATTTTAGTTAATACTCTTTTGGTATTCTCCCTCTCAAAATTCTGGAAATTTCTATTTCAAACACAGTACAGCAATTACATCTGAAGCAAAAGTCTTCCTATAAAACATTACCATTTTTCTTTTCCTATGTCTAAATTTATAGCACACAAAACAGGCAAATTGAGAAAAAAATACCCTGAATTACTTCTACACAATTATTTTAAAATAACCAGTTTATGAAACTTCCAGTTATTCTACAAGGCACATTTGGAACAAGTGGCAACATTCATTAGGATGCGGAGGCCAAAGCCTCAACTATCAACAGGCCTGTTCAACTTAGAACTGAGTTAACAACACAACATTCTATGTTAGTGTTGTGTCCTCGATCAGCCATTCCAAAAAGAAAACAACAAAAGTCAGTTAACTTACAGCTGAATAACTCTGCTAACTGTATGAAGTTATGAACTGGTAAGAAAGCCCAAACCTCACGGGGCAGACAGGTACTGCTGGGCTAGACCCAGGATTAAGGGTGGTCCTTAAATTCTAGGCCGTGAGAGCACCTGAGATCTGTGCAGCTGGGTCTCGGTGAGGGCTTGGGGATCAGCATGCTCTTGCTGTTGGCTCAGCTGGGCATTGTACTGAAACACTGGCTAATGAATACATCAAGGCCAGACATTTGTGCTGGCCGCCTCCCAACCATGCCTAGACCTTTTCTCCCCAGGCCATCAACCCCCAGCTACCAGAAATAGTCCGACAGATTTTGCTCATGCTTGCTACATATCTCCTACAAATAAAAAAAATCACTTCTTTTCTAAAATATAAATTTGGTATGAGCGTTCTGTGACTAACTTAGCAGCATGCAAGCAAGCAAGAACCACTTGACCCTGCCTCCGAATGTTAGGCTCGATAGTAAATTGTGTGGACAAGCCTGTTTTCAGTCTAATGTTTCTCTAATGAAGTCATTTCTGTCACCTGAAAAGACACTTTGCAATATGATTTAGGAAGCAATGCTATCTGGCTATCTCCTTGAATTAACATTCCAATCTTTTTCCTGATTTCCATAGCTTTCCCTTCCTACTATCTATGAACAGCGTCAAAACAGTGGCACCAATACTTAGGCCAGAGGAAGTAGACCATTACTTTTAATTTTATGTTTTGTGTATTTTAATTTCAGGACAAAACAAAATAAAAACAATACAGAACACCTAACCCGGCTCTCAGGTAAAGGAGGTAATTTTCCTGCATTAGACACACAAAGGCAGAAAAGAACTTGAGGCAATAGGAGAGGGAGCTGTAGGGGCCAGAGCCACTCAAGGCTTCTGCAGGAGCCGTGAGGAAACTATAGAGGGCCCAGGCTTCCTAGAGGGACCACAACCTGCTTCCATGGGAGATAGAGCCTCATCATACACAATCGGAAGATAGCATTAGCAGCACCAATGCTGGGCTCCTCTGCTGTCACCTCATCTTCACCAGGCCTAATCCTTTCAAGGGATCAATTCATCCCTTGATCATGGGATGAATTTGGCTGGAGAGGGTCTGGGGATCCTCAAGCCAGAAGCCAGCAGAGAGCAGAGCGACGCCTGACAGCAGTGCCCCAGATACCTGTTTAAGCCTTAGCCTTCTACCATGGGGTCTGCACAATCGGGTGGTTGGGAGTGATCTCTAGGTACCCTCTGACCATCAAACAGCCCACTACAGAGCTGTTTTAAAGTGCCTGGGCCTTCATGATCTGTTCCACACTGGCCTGAAGGTGCCTGTTAATAGAACAGGATGAAGACACAAGCCTATCAGAGACTATCACCTCCTCAACCTTCTTATCCAAGGCATCTTCCACGAGCACGCAGATGTTCTCAAACTCCACCTTGCTTTCCTCCTCCTCTAAGTAGCTCCTGATGCTCTTTGGTATGGAGACCGGGCTCTTCAAACTCCTTGAGCTGCTGCATCCAGGACTCGCCAATGAGGCTGTCATGTACACATCCACTTCTCAAGAACAGAGTTGGCCAGCTCCTCTTTGCCCTCACCAGAGCATACAGTTTTCTTCATGCGAGACACGTGCTGACAGAAAAGACATCTCCAGGCTGAGAGGTGTGACAGACAGACAGCTCAAAGAGGCACTGTTGCTTAGTGGAATCTTCGGGGATTCCACGCTTTACACTCGGGAGAATGCCTCACAGAAGCACTTATGGTTCTTTGTTTGCTGCAGCTCAGAGACGAGTTCAAGGCACTTCCTTTCATACAATGCCTTTGTGGAAACTTTCAAGACTTTGTTCTGCTGGAGCATCTTGGGAGATATTCAGGGGCAATCCCCAGTCAACAATGCCACAGATGAGGTTTCTGGGCATCAGCTCATCACAGCTGTCCATGATGAACACACAGTGCAGCGTTACTGCACTTATTCTCAAACAGGTCAAAAGGAGCTTGCCATCGGATCAAGAGCAACACCCTGAACGCCATCCTCACTCCAGAGAGGTGCTTGATGGCCTAGTGGCCTTTCCAGTCACTGGAGAGGTTCACAGAATCTGCCATATTCCTCCTGAGAGACGGCATCAGAATCTCTGTTCTAAATGAGCTCAGTCTTGCTTGGCTTTTCCTGATTAGTGTATTCACCCTGAATTTCCCTCGTTTCTTTTTATCTGTACCAATATCCTCATCCTCACCCGAACTCACATCTTCAGTCTTAGACTTCTCTTCACTACGCTTATCTTCCTCTTCCTTGTCTTCTACCTCATCATCATCCCTGTCCTTCTCCAAGGAGAGTGTGACAGCCTAACTGTGTGTGCTTTTTCACTACCTCCACCACCCACCTCTCCTCTAAGTACTCTTCTTTGAGGTGGATCACTTTCACACTCCAACCAATGGGTTCACTCTGATCTACCGTTCAGTGAAGGTTCCACCAGGCATGCCGCTCCATCATCACTGCCTTGTGACCACAAACACTTCTTTGCCACGAAGTAGGCAGAATAAAGTCCAACACCAAACTACCCAACCATGGAGATAACTGCAACAGCCTGAGGGCTTCCACGAGTATTATAGTCAGATTTAGCATAAGTTCCCAAATTACTGATAAGCTCAACGTTGGTCACACCAATGCCTGAGTAACCAGGAGTCAGAGGGTGTTCCTGAGGGCCCACCAAGCTCTCCTAGTAAATCTTGTTCAAGGATCAGAAGCATGAAAGAGTCTGAAGGAAACTCTGTTGCGATAGAAAGTTTTGATAAAGGAAGAAATGTGTTGGGCAGTATTTACCTGAAATGCAGTATCTCTACACCACCACCCTCAGCATGGTGTACTTCCTTGAGTATCCTGAAAGGACAGGGCTGAAGTACTGTAGAGCAGGGTGGGCCTAGATCATCTCTGACTCACATGCAGGCACCTAGTGGGTGAGGGAGTGACTCAAAGCGATTGGGTGACGAAGCTTAACTCCAGCCCAGACGGTCCCTCCAGACTCTACCTACTATTCTGAGTGCTTAAAACAAATTAACTTTTCTCAATCGACTTATTTTCTGTAGTACTATTTACCCCTCTATCAGTTATTTAAAGAGAACGTTGCTTTATCATATTCTCAGTTCATTCCCAATCGCCTTGTTTGTTCCTTGTTTTAGTAATACCTAACTTTGAAATGACTGCATATTCTTAGATTTCCTGTTTAAGTCAGTCAAGGCTCAGTTTACTATTGTCATTCCAAGTAGATTCCCAGCTTTTCTCCTCTGACAAGCCACTGTTATTTATTCCAGTCGGTTATCTTTCTAAACTAGAAATCTGACCATATTACTCTTCTGCCTAAATCCTGGTAAGGTCCCTGCTGTGGTCTGAATGAGAATGTTCCCCATCGGCTCATATGTTTGAATACTTGGCCCCCAGTTGGTGGTGCTATCTGGGAGGCTTAGGAGGTGTGGCCTTGTCAGAGGTGTGTCACTGGGGGGGCCTGACTGGGAGTTTAAAGACTCATGCTTTTTCTCCATCACCTTCTGCTTCCTGCGTGCCGTTTGAGAGGTGAGCTCTCAGTTGGTTTGGCCACCCTATCTACTACTTGCTGCCATAATTCCCAGCCTCAATGGACTCTTAACCCTTAGAAACCTTAAACCTAAAGAAACTCTTCTATAAGTTGCCTTGGTCATGGTGTTATATCACAGCAATAAAAACTAAGAAAGTCCCAATACCTAGACTCACAGTCCAGCCACAAAGACAAATAACTGAAGTGGGCTGAAACTAACAGGAAACACTAGGGGGTAGACGGAGCCTGGGTGTTTTCAGACATGAAGCAACTAAATGAAACAGATGATCTGTGAGCTAGAGCATGAGGAGTAAGAGATCCCAACTAGCCTCCAATTTCCTTTTTCAGTTTCACCCTCACCTTGAATCAGCATTGCCAACGGGATGATACCCACTCCTGCCTGTTCCTGGGCCAAAAGGCTTCAACTCTGCTTCTCGGAAGACTTCTTAGAAAAGACACTGTGCAACAGTTTTGGGAAATGGAAATGCACGTAAAAGCCCCTTCCTGTGATTCCTCAGCTGTCTGGAACTTCTCTGCTTTATCTCCAAGTAGCATGTCTTATAACAATAACTCATTGCTTATTCTTCTGAGATGAAGTTCAACCTAAACTTACTAAACAAATGGTTATTTTAACAAACAGACTCTTTTTATTATATAAAGGATTTTATAAGGGACCAAAGAATTCTAAGACAACAGTAAATAATACTTATTATTAAACAATATTTCATCTATTGTATATAAAGCTACTTTTTTAAATTTATGCTCAGAATTTTTTAATCTTCCAGTTTAGTTACAAACTTCACTCTCAATTTGTTGAGACATTCTATTCCATTCTGTTTTTAATAACAGTACGTTTCAGAAAAAATCTACAGTAAAGCCTACCTTCAGAGATTAAAGGATGGCTTTAAAGAAAAAGTAAACTTTAGCTGGGAGGAAAACGCTGACTTTTTCCCCATCAAACTTACACAGGAGGCCCCCACCAACCGCCTGCAGCACGGTTAAAATGGGGAAGAAGTAAAGTGCAGCATAAATGCTTTTGAACCGGTCAGATTTCCCTAGTCCGCAGGCAATCTTCTTCACCAGAAGAGGTCGGAGAAGCATCATTAACACCAAGCAGAAAGCGTAATAAACAAACACGATGGTGTATCTGTAAAACAAGGAATTTGTAGTATCAAGATATGTTTAAAACTTTTATCCTTGATGGTCTTAAATAAAAGATCTGAAAAGAAAGTTTAAAACTCTATTAAGTCCACTCCTTAAGATACTTAAGCCTTGGGAAAGGGGGAACAAGCAAACACAAATACTGCTTTGTTTGTTTGTTTTGTTTTGGTATTTGAAAATATGTCTCCAAAATCCTAAAAATGCTGGAGAGATGGTTTAGCACTAAAGATCATTTGCTACTTTTGCGAAGAATCTGGTTCAGTTTTGACCCACAAGGCAGCTCACAGCCCCTGTAACTACAGGTTAAGTAAAACATATACTCATTTTATTAAAAATTGAGCCAGACTCGCTTATTGCTATTCCCATTAATGGTATTTATTGTAGAAATATCTAGTTAGAAGGAAAATGGCAAATGGATGCCCTGCGCCCTCTTTCTGTGCCCAACAATAGCTACTCTTATTTTAAACTGTGTTTAAACCTTTATAATTCCATTGATGACTAATAAATTAAGTGGAATTATAGAAGTTTGCTAATTCAGGATAGACGCAAACAAATAGCATCATAAACTGTAATAGAGTCCAGATATGGCTGGCTACCTCAGCTGAAAAGGGAAACGAGTTACAGGTGATGACATAAGAGACCTGAAAGCTTGTTTAGTGCTGATGAAGTTAATTACACTTCCTAGAATCTTCTCTAGGCGATTCCAGCTTTCTCTTGTTGCTTTTGTTAATACTGAAGTCAGCTGAAGTATTACTGCACACACCACGACGTGTATACACATGTCAGACACATAATGAGAATACACTTTTAGGAAACAGTTGTCTTTATTTATGTGTATTTAAGTCTATGAATGTGTACCACGCATGCGGGTTAAAAGAGGGCGCCACATCCCTTGGCCCTAAGCTTACAGGTTGGGAGCTGCCTAAGTGCCACAACTGAACTTGGGTCCTCTGGAAGAGTATTATGCTATCTTAACTGCTAACCATCTCTCCAACCCCACTAATAAGTTTTGTTTTGTTTTGGTTTTGGTTTTTCACGACAGGATTTCTCTGTGTAGCCTTGGCTGTCCTGGACTCACTCCATAGACCAGGTTGGCCTCGAACTCACAGAGATCTGCCTGCCTCTGACTCCCCGAGTGCTGGGATTTAAGGTATGCAGCACTGTACCCGTCTCAGTAATAATTTTTTAAGTAAAATTCAAAGCAAACCCACAGTTCAAACGACTCACTTAAATTATTAAAAGCACTTATGTCCTTTTTGTTTCTTTTGAACTTTTATTTTTCTTTGAATTGACACATCCAGTCATACAGATTGAGAAGCCTCATTCACATGCATCTGCTCTGCGTTGCCTATTAAAAGTCTACATTCCTTTATAGTATGTGACAAGACAATGCCGGAGGCCGAGTTACAGTTCTATGATGCAATAAACCAACAGAGCACATTAGCAGTTTTTATGAAATATAGTTAAATAGATTCATGTAAAAAGTAACTTGAAGGTCATAAAGCTTGGCAATAGAAAAGGTTTTCATACTTCTGTATATGAAACTTGAGAATCACTTCTTATACACGCGTGTACACGCACACACGTACACACATGCACTGAGTATCTGAGCATGGCAGTACATACTGGAATCCCAGTACTGGGGAGGCTGAGGCAGGGTAACGAGAATGAAGACAACCTGGTACATACAGTAAAACCATATCTTAAACACAAAAATGAGGTTTCTTCCTATTGTATTCTGTAGCCTTCAGAGAAGATAATTTCTACTATCTCTTCGCTCACCGAGAAGTTTACAACAACCAATCTGCTGAAATCGGTGGACTCTACAACGGTCTCTTTCTCCGTGGTCCTGGGTCTAAGGACATACTCACAGTGGGTAGACGGCTTCGTGGGTGCAGTGCACCGTGGTGACGTAATCTGGACTCGGGTTGTAGAGCATCGTGTACCAATCGGAGAGCATCAGCACTCGGCAGGAACGGATGTAAAGGACGCCCACAGGATCACTCACGAGCAAGGTGATGACAGCTGCCATACTGCACTCAAACAGCGCCGTGATGTGCTGGAAAAGGGCACTGGAGCTGGGGAAACAGGACACAAACCAGAACAACGTCAGGGCGCCAAAGCCAGTCAGGTGCGTGTTTCAAGATTCAGAGTCTAAATGTTTCAGCAACAATCCTGTATCTATATTTTTGAAAGATCAGACAAACATGTGCTCTTAACCACTGAGCCATCTCTCTAGCCCCTTCACTTTTTCAAAGAGCAGAATCCTCAGGGATTGCTTCACCTCCAATGTTTCCCAGATTTCATTCATTTCACGTGGGTCACTTAGAGCTCCTAGTTCACAGAACTGAACTACTTCAGAGATGAACATACTGAATGCACAGGTACAAATAAGCACATACTATATGATCTCATCTTCATACTTCATATTTTTAGAGTTAAAAACCAAACCTAATCCATAATGACAGAAATCTTTTTATCATGTTTCAAATCATCTACAGCCAACATGACCTTTGAAAATAAAAGTGGATTCCAAGAGTCCACATGTAAAACCATGGCCATATTACTGCACAGTAGTTCAGTCCATGAAGGGCAATGCACATGACAGCGATCCTACGGGACTGTCATCTCTATGAACCTTGCATTGTTAGTATGCCATGATGCCGGCACGGTGCGGGAGCATTTAATGATATATTCCTCAAGCTGTGTCACAATTGATGTAAGGCTGTACCTCGGGATCTCTTCTGTATTTCAGAAAAGATACTCCTTTGTCACAATTCTCCTTTATCCCCTCTTGGCCATGCTAAATTGCCTCAAGTACCACCACCTATGTGGATAGGCTTCACCCTCTACCTTAAGACATGGTTCATCTATGTGGAAAAATAGATGTTTCATCTACGTGCTCTTTACCATTAGCTCTGGAATCATGCGCTTTTGGAACTCAGTCAAAACATTGATGCATGGTGAACAATGTCTTGGGGAACTGTGAGAGAGCCTCCAGGAAGAAAAGGCAGAGGGCCTTTTAGCTCCAGTGCATTCTGTTCCCTGGATTGTTCTTGGATGTGATTTCGTGCCTCCTGTGTTAATAATTATATTCAATTTATAAGGCATGTTTATTCTTGTTGGATGTCAGAACATAGCTACAGAATCCAATCTAGTCACAGTGTCCTGAATCTGGATATGGCCTTCTGCCTTGCTTTCTTGCTTTCCTAGATGTAATCTATAGTGCATGCCAGGCAATTGTGTTTAAATTGGTCTGTCTTGAGAAAGTTCTGAGAAAGGACTATTCTGCTAATACGCAGTATGTGCTTACTGTTTTCTGAACTCAGATAACCTTCCTTGGATGACTGCTTTCTGTTACATACATGTATAAAAGTACACTGAAACTGAAGTAAGGCTGTCTTGCAGTATTAGACTGTAGTCTGCTCTATTCCTTCAGGCTTCAGATCCTAAGTGTTGCAGACAGATCTTGCGTAGGTTGAAAAAAGCAGACAATGCCCCATCAACAAGTCATAATGCCACACAGCAAAAACATTTTGGAGCAGGTGAAAATTCCAAAGCAGAAAAAACCCAGACAATCAGGGGAATTAAAACAGCTAAGGCTGAGCCAGCTAAGGCAGAATCCGCCTTCGAAAAGCCAGGCACATATCTGTCAAGAATCTCTGCATTCTGACCGCCACCCACTTTTCAGTATTACCTTGACAGATCACACCTCCATGCCTCCAGGCCATCATTCAATCTTTTTTCTACCAAAACTGTCTCAGCTTTACTCTGTAAGTCTTTGAGATCCCATCAGGCACACTTTCTCTCTCTATTCTTTGTGACTTCTAAGGATTTTGTTAATAAAGCATTTCACTGTATCTCTAAGGTGGATAATTACAATCATGTTACCTGTCTTCTTTATTTCTTCTATCTCTTCCTTTGATCTTCCAAACGTAAAATACACTGCTCAATAAATGCACCAACAGTAGTCAGCTCTCATAATTAAACTAGATCATTAATTAGCATTAAACTGAGTTATAAAGTATGTGTTCTACAACGGTAACAGCTTGTGATCATAATCAACTTTTGCAGCAACTCAGGAAGAATTATCACTGAGAAATAACATTCTCTCAAGACCACTGCGATGAAAATTAGGGAGAACATCAATAACACCTAAGGTGTGCTCTGCCATTGCTTTCTTATTACAGGAGGGAGAAAAACAGGTAGAAATAGAGAGAACAACAGGTTGTCTTCTTTGAAACAGTGAAAAATAGTTATTCTTCTAAATGACAGTGGTGCTGAAGGGGTAGGTCAGCAGCAGACTGTGTGCCTGGCATCACAGTAAGGAAGTGGCCATTACGCCGTCACTAGTCCATTCAGACAGAATCTGACGTGCTCACCTCTTTTTCCCCGAGTACCACTCAATGAAGAACCAATGTAAAACAAGAGGAAGCATTGCCATAAATCCAAGATAGAGCCAGTCATAAAGCTCTGGGGACTCTGTGCAGGGCTGGCAGTATTTCTGCGCATTTGTCCTCTGTCCTCTTGGGCAGACCTACAACACGTAAAAACACTGCTTTACGCACAAATAGTGTTTTCTATGCAGGACCCCGTTTTATTTTAAACATTTTAGTAGGTGTCTGTAGCTTTTAGAAATTAACAAAGAAAACCAAACCTGTAAGAATAAAAAGAAATCTAAAAGAGAAAAGAACCTAAAGAAATTCACATCACCTGTGCTGTCTCTAAAATGCTCCAAAAAGCCTCCTTTCACTTAGCTGCTAAAACAGCTAACTAATATTCATAAAAAACCTTGTCAGTAACATCATGACATTAAAAAAAATCATTCAAATCAGGCAGAAGCGTTCTGGAGCTGTCATGTTAACTGGCTGTACAAAACACCTCACTAAATCACTAAACAGTAATTACACATTATAAAATATTTTTAATATCTGTGACTGTCATGAAAGATATTATATTCTTATACACTCATGAATATATTTAAGAAAAATTCTATGTGCAAAACTGTTCCCAACATAAACAGATCTTCAAAGGAACTAATATTAACACAGGACTTACCCCACATTCTCCATAGATCTCATTGGAGCCATTTTTAAACAACAGAGTCTTCCCACAGTAGAGTCCAAGGCATGCTGGTTGAATATCGACAGCTTTTTAAAAACAAATGCCAGTACAGTAACATCTTTTGTGGTTATAAATAATAAGAACCTGATAACACTAAAGTAATTGGCAGAAATATCTCAACCTCACTTTATAAATATATAACAGACAAATCTTGATGCATATATTTTAAATTCTTTCACACTCTGACAACACAGAATATTATGCTGAATATTATGCTGAACAGAACTTGTGCTGTTCACACTGAGCCTATATCAAGGTCTTCAACAGGTTCTAGCCCCAGACATCTAACCCTGAATCTTCCCTGCGGCTCCAGGAAGCCAGGCCCTATGATTAGACTTTGGCATTTATTGATTGTAAGGACATAAGAGTGAGTGTGTGTGTGTGTGTTTTAAATCACAGATAGAGGTCCAGAGACATGACGCTGATAAAAGCACTTACCAACGAAGCCTGAGGTGTTTGATTTCTAGAGCCCATGGTAAAAGGAAAGAACTCCAGAAAGTTGTCCTCTGACCTCCATGTGTGCTCTACCGCAGGCACCTCCAGCCCCACACATATCACATACAATTTTAAATTTAATTAAAATAAATCACTGACAGAAGGTCACTACTCTTCATCTTGCCCAATCAGGACATAGGATACACATGCAGACTCATCCTTGTTCATAACAGAATATATTACCAAAAAACCTGAAGGAAGGTAAGTGTTTAAAACAAATCAGTTCACCTCCACACAAAGCATTATCCTAGCTTTTATCATTTTTGTCAAGGACGTGTAAATTTTATCAAAGCTGGCACTGAGCTTTTGACCAGTTTCTTGAGAACCACTGCCTTGCAATCAATTTCTTAAAGATATGGGAAAAATTAAAAACAGCTTTTTTTAAAAACCCTGAGAGCCTCCAAATCATCTTGGACCTCATCTGAGAGAAATTACTGAAGGCATCATTCGCACCAGTGAACCTGATTCTCTCCACTGCTTAATATCCAAACACGAAGTACAATGCCCAAGGGCTATGAAGGTCTTCAGAGGACCATGACATCATAGCTGTCTTCTCTAAGAATCTGCCATATACCATGAAATAAATCCAAAACAACAGTGGTCTACATGTGAATTTACACATCTTATTATTATTATGAAACAATAATTTCCTCAAATTTTTCATGCATTCACAATGTGGAGACTCTGGTTACAAGGCCCTTTCTCCTTTTAAATTCCTATAGACTAGATTTTTTTTTTTTTTGTACTTATGTTGCCGAGGGAAACAAACAGAAAAACATAGTCTAAAATGTCTCACCTTTGATATTTTCACTTTTATCAAGCACCTGACATCTTTTTTGAGCCCATGCTTCTTTATTATAGAATATTTTAAAAAATCTTTTTATTATTATAGTATTATGTTTTTATGTGTATGTGTGTTTTGCCTGCATTTATGTCTGCACCATGTACCTGCTGGGTGCCCGTGCAGGCCAAGAGAGGGGGTCAGAAAAGGAATTCGGATCCCCTAGAACTAGAGTTACAGAGGGTCCTGAGCCGCTGTGTGGGTGCTGGGAATTAGCTTTTATTTGCTGAGCTATCTCTCCAGCTGGACCCTTAACACCCCGTTTTTGTTGTTGTTGTGTGTGTTTTCTTTTTTACAGCAACTACGTTGTAATGGACTAAACACATGAATTAACTGCTTCAGGTTTTCTGAGGAAAAAAGTTAAGACACTGGAAGCCCCTTCTCGATGGGCTTTTCATAAAAAGTTCTCAAAACCAAGGCCTGAAAATCAGTGAACAAACAAAAGCAAAGCTCATTTACTTTTCAACAAGAATCCCACACAATCACCTTTCATAGCCTTTGGTGAACTATGGCTAAAACGTTGACCTTGTTTGTTTGTTTGTTTGTTTGTTTGTTCTGCAACAGTCTAGCCCCTTTGTGAATGCTGATGTAGTGGTACACGCCTTTAAAACCAGCACTCAGGATGCAGAGGCAGGTGGCTCTCTGCGTTCGAGGCCAGCCTTGTCTACAGAGCGAGTTCCAGAACAGCTAAGGCTACACAGACAAATCCTGCCTCGAAAAACAAAAACAAGCAAACAAAAATTACATCTGAGGTTGAAAACGCAAGTTGCGTGGCAACTAGCTTCTGCTTCCTTGTCCTGCACTAACACTAGAAATTCCAATTCCGAAGCCAACCATCAGGAATGCTTTCCTGGACAAGAAACAAAGGAACATAGGAAGAGCACAACAAAGCCTCGGCTTTTACACCTGCATACGACCCGCGCTCCTCTCCAGCCATCCCAACCTCGGGAGAAGTCAGAGCCCGGGCGCAGGGCAGCAAAGAGCTAGGCTGTCCGCAGCGTGAGAGCTGTCGGCCGGGGGCCGAGCCCGAGGCAATGTGGTGGAAAATCAGCAGGGACGAAGACACCAGAGCACCCCCATCCCGCAGCCTAAGCGACCACTTACCCATTGGCCACACTAGGTTCCCCAGAGAGGCCGGAGGATCAGCGGGTCCGAACGCAGCGGCCGAACATCCGGGCCACGGCGGGCCGGGCCGCCCCACCTCCCGCTAGCCTGGCAATGGCGCTGGAACCCCGCCCTGCTGCATGAGGCCCCGAGTCCCGCCCCACCACCGCCTCCTCCGTGAGGCAGGAATGCTCGCCGCAGACTTCCCGGCCTAAGATCCCAGAAAGCCGGTTTCCTGGTCTAGGCTCGGAAGCCTCTCTCGCGCTTCCGGGTTTGAGCTTAGAGGCTCCACCCTTTCCGGGTCCAGACTCAGAGGCCTCCTCCGGGCTAGAGCAGGAACACAGGCCCGGCCTCCAACTCGGACTAGTCTCCACCGTCTCCCGCGACTCCTAGACAGGACCCAGAGGTCCCGTCCCCGCTTTTTCTTTTTCGACAAGGCTCGTCGCCCCACCCTGTGGTGCAGACAAGTCTCTCCGGCCCCGCCCCAGCCTACGGGCTAGATTTCCCGGCCCTGCTCCGGCAAGCTGGCTAGTCTCCGAGGCCACGCCCTCGAGGCTCCGAGGCTCCGCCCCCGACGCACGGTCACGCCCCGAGCCCCGCCCCCGCCGCGCAGCCCCGCCCCCGAGCCCCGCCCCCGGCTGCTTGCGTTGTCTTCGAGGCAGGGGGCCCCGGCAGACCGTCTTGCACGGAACCCAGCGGGTGCTCCGGGTCTCAGCTCCCAGACGCGCTCGTCGCTGGGTGCGGTCTGCTCGCGGGCTCGGCCCTGCACGTTCTGCCGTGGAGTTTGACGTTTCTCCCCCACGCCTGGAGTGCCGCAGCCCCTGGAAGCAGACAATGGAGGCCCCGCTGGCAGTGGCCCGGCTGCCCCCTCACGACCCGAGCACGCCAGCGCTGTCGGTGGTGGACATGCACACAGGCGGCGAGCCTCTGCGCATCGTGCACGCCGGGTGTCCGGAGGTGGCGGGGCCCACGTTGCTGGCCAAGCGGCGCTACATGCGTCAGCGCCTCGACCACATACGGCGGAGGCTTGTGTTCGAGCCCCGCGGCCACCGGGACATGTACGGGGCGGTCCTGGTGCCCAGCGAGCTGCCCGACGCGCACCTAGGCGTCCTGTTTCTGCACAACGAAGGCTACAGCTCCATGTGCGGCCACGCGGTGCTGGCGCTGGGCCGCTTTGCGCTCGACTTCGGACTGGTGCCCGCTCCCCCAGAAGGTGCCGGGGAGGCCCAGGTCAACATTCACTGCCCGTGCGGGCTGGTGGCTGCCTTCGTGGCGTGCAAAGGTGGCCGGAGCTGCGGCCCTGTACGCTTCCACAGCGTCCCGGCCTTTGTCCTGGTCGCAGGTAAAGGATGAGACCCTAGAGGCCGGGTTGGGACACAATCCAGAGGAACCTAATTTTCGCTGAGTACACCTGCGCAACTAACCCACCTTGCCTGCCCTCGCAACTAATAAAAATTAATTACTGCAAACACGCTTCGGTGTCTTTGCCTTGCAGATCTGGTGGATGCAATTCAGTTATCCTGCAGAGCGCATCCCTCCCTGCAAAGCCTGGGGAGCTTTGAGTGGAATGGTGAAGAATCCTGTGCTTCCTTTAAGGGAGATCCTGACTCGACGCCTGTCGGGCATTTGCAGGCATTTCACAGGAGAATGAAGCTAAGAAGGAGCAAAGGACAGTGTGTGCCGGAGTTTCAGGCTAGCTTAGAATATGCTTGGTAAACATGTTACTTCTAGTGAGTTACTGAGTATGACCTGTCTTTTCCTCAGCTGCTAAGTAAGTGCCTCTCTCTCTGCAGGGAGGATGTCAGGTCCAGGTGAGCCAGGGCCCATGGTGAGACCCCTTGACTTTGAGGAAGAACTAGCTATGAAAGAACTAACTTTGTACTTGAAGATACTGCTGTTCTTGTTGAGAAACAAGGTCATTGCTTGCGACAAGTCCACAAACCGCCAAAGCCATGCAACCTTAGTTCACAAGTAAATTTCACGAAGTGTGTCTGTAACCTTCATCTTATCCCAGAGGTTTTTGTGATGAGTAATGACTATGAAACAGTTTTAAAATTGTATTTATTTTTTTTTAAGTGAATACGTGTTGACTGTTTTGTTTTGCTTTGAGACAGGGTCTTACAGTGTAGCCCTGCCTGGAATGGAATCCTGAAACTTCTCTGTTGGCGAGGCTGCCCTCTGTCTCCCAGAGATCTACCTGCCTCTGCCTCTTGAGCGCTGCTAGAATTTTTTAAATATCTGAAAAAAAAATATTTGTCAAGAAACAGACTAAAAGATACGTAGGATTATTTCCTGGGCATTCAGAAACATGAACGGGTTTTCAGGGTTCTCTAGTATAGATCCTTAGCTGTCTGGCCAGGCAGGTAATCCATATCATCAAAACATTGACAAAGGATCCCTCTCATGTATCACCTGGCAGCCGGCATTTTATCTTTCCTCCCAGGCATCCCTTGAGCAAGACTATCCAGTGTGCAGCTTGCAGAGCCTCCCATCTGCCCAGGATAGCTATGAATGTGCCCAACATAAAATGTATACTTACTTGGAACACTGAAGTTTTTTAATGGTTTGTTTTATTTATTTATTTATTTATTTATTTATTTATTTATTTATTTATTTATTTATTTATTTATTGTCTCTGGGTTTTGTAACTCTCGCGCATGAACTTTGCCACAGTGGCAGGTCAGATACACCTGCAGGCTTGAGTTCTGTCTGTGCGGAATGTGTTTAATGTTTGACTGGGAGGGAACTGGGGGTGAATTTAGTCAATCCGGGAATAAGGTTACCACTGCGAGTCTTCAAGCTGTGCAAAGTAGTCTTAGAGAACCTGATCTTGATCCTCCCTGAATAATTACTCTAGAGCAGCCTGGGCAGGAATGATACTGTAGCAGAACAGGCTTAGGGTGGCCTCAGTAGGGGAAATACCCGTGAAAATGAATGCCTTGGAGGATTCAGTGCCCTTTGAGAGAATGGGTATCACATCCAGATTGGCATTAGAGGGAAATATATATATATATTTTTATCTTCGGAGACCAGCCATTTAACTAGCTGGCTACCAAGTTTCTCCCGAGGCAACTCAAGCTGCAGATTACAGGGAGTTAGTCCACTTCGTGAGACCCCAAAACTGGCAGCAGCAGCAGTGACTGCGTGTTAGTCTCAGGCTCATAAGGAGACAGGTAGCCAGACCTTCGGGTACCACAGCATAACCTGGGTGACAGCAGGAAAGTCAGTGGACTTGTTTGCTTGTGCTGAAGCATCCTCTACTTGGAGGCACGTAAAAGCCAGGACATGGCACTGGAGAGCATTGATCTGCCCTTCCCATCTCAGGGACACTGTGCAAGAAAGTCAGCATCAGTGAAACAAAGGTAGCACCAGTACTCACCGGGAGAACTCCAGAGTTCACCATACGCCCCTCCCCCCACCATACAGACACTAAATTACCTTTATTTTGTTCCCTGTGCCCTAGGGGTCTACAAAGGCAGATGTAAATGAATAGTGCTTGGATGAGTAGCCAAATAAATGAAATTTGGAGACTGTGCAGATTGGCAGTTGTGACTATCTGGTTCCCTTGAGAACACCATTCCTATTGGAAATTAAGCTTTGGCTTTCATATTAACATTCATCATACCTACTAACCTGTGCCTGGTATTTCCCATGTATCATTGCATTGAATTCTCAAGAAAACACTCAGAGGGAGGGGACAGAGCAATTCCATTTTGTGTGCAAGGGCAGAGACGCTGTATTGAGAAGCGGGACCAGGATCCAAACCCAAGCCTGGAAGATTGCCTTCCTCTCATCCTTAACATTTTTGCAATTCACAGAGCTATATTTTTTTATTTTCTGGAAAACTCATGTGTCCAGTATCATTCTCACCGTGCGATCCATTTGAAATTTTATCTTTCTTGTTTAGCTGAACTTAAAAAGGGCTGTGTTATTTATTCATCCTGTAAGTCTTTAGTCTTCCACATGATATATACTCTGCTGGTAGTATGCCCTAGGTGTCACTTGAGGGAAATCAATTTAGTATCCTAGTGGTCATTTCGCATAGACAAAAGGAAAGACTTCTGACTTTGGATTGAGTTCTAAATACAGGTTACAGAATTCAGGGAACAAGTTGGGACTACAGTTGCTTCTGAATTTGACTCCAAGCTGCCACTTATTTGAGTCTTTTAAGTTCCAATGTCCGCAATTTAGAGATTTAAAAGAAAAAAAAAAAAGTGGCAGCCAGGCATTGTGCAAATCTGCAAGCCCAATGCTAGTGTTATGGTTGTGTACTACTATACCCAGCTTTAAAAAAAAAAAAAATCAGTAAAAATTTTGTTTGGTCATTATAACTGAAGATAACTAGGGAATAGCATTCAAATCCTCCTTGAAGCCTTCCTTTCTAGTAGGTATTCCTTTGTGGTACTCACAGATGGATGTCCTAGAGTTTCCCCATCTCTTAGTCACCCTCTGTGATGGTTCCTACAAGAGCGCCTCAGTTAACAGATATGTACATATAATCGAGGAGAAACACAGAATCCAGACACATCCGAACTTGGGCAAAACACCAACCAAAACAAGAAAACAGACCGGGCTCTCATTTGCTGGACACTGACTTTGAAAATGGGCTTCTGCTTCATTCCTTTTATTTCAAAAGTTTCTCCTTTAGAGTAAACATAATTAAAACAGTGTAATTTTTTTTTCCTAACAAACTTACCTGCCAATGCCTCTTTCAGACCTCGCGGTGGATGTTCCTGGACACGGAAAGGTGGTGGTGGACATTGCATACGGTGGAGCGTTTTATGCATTTGTTAGTGCAGGGAAATTGGGGCTGGATGTGTGTTCTGCGAGGACGAGGGACCTTGTGGATGCAGCAACTGCAGTGACACTCGCAGTGAAAGCTCAGGTCAGTCCCGGCGCCACCTCGACAACCAGCACAGAGTGTCACATCCTGTAAGGAAATTAGTCACAGATGCATTTAAACCTTTGTTCATACTAAATACGGTATACTGGCTGAAGGGCTCTGGCATGACACCTGTGAATTCTAGCTTTGACACTGAGAACATTCGTGTCCTCGTCTCCATGGGTCTTGGTTTTCTTGCTTTTTAAATAAAGTCAATTTAGGTGATAAGTGACTCTGTTCTTTCATGTCTAGTACAATTCTGTCAATGTACGTTGAATCATGACTCATAAATAAAAGATTGCAGTATTTGAATGTTGTATTACATGATTTAATAGCCATAAAATAGCATGATAGTATTCAATATACTTGTATTGATCATTCTTATGGACCTTAGTTTGATAAAACTTATAACTCAAGTAGGAACATGGAAATCTGTAACATTGGGCTGGAGGGGTGTCTAAGGTGTTAAGAGTGCTGGCTGCTTTTTCAATGAACCCAGATTCATTCCCAGCACACACACAGCAGCTCATAACCTCCCTTAACTCTAGTTCCATGGGACCTGATGCCCTCTTCTGGCCTCTTAAGTACCAGACACATACATGCATAGATATACATGCAGGCAAAACATACATAAAATAAAAATAAATATTTTA